ATAAAATGAAACATGAAAATAATTTACGCTAAGTCAGTGCAAAGATTTGTATATCCTGCCTGTGACTAATGCTGAGCAGTTGAGAAAATATATTAGGGAATGCAAGCATTTTCTCAATTTCTAAAGAGTGCTCATGAGGAAATGTAGGAGAGTTCTGAAAACTTCTGGAAAATTTCTGAATTTTTCCTGTTATGATAACCACTTTTTTGGGAAATTGAAGTGCCCAGTAAAATTTAAAGTTTAAGGAATTAACTCCTGTACTTGGAAATATTTAATGGATGAAATACAAAAAGTTAATGACAAAATTGTGTCTCTTAGTCACTATAAACGCAATTTTGGAACAGCACTGAAACCCCATTGGGTTTCAAAGGGAATTATAATTAAATACAAACACATTCATGAAATACAGATGTTTCTTCTACTAGATTGATGGCTGAGGATGGCTTGAAACACCTCTTGTACTTCATTGTTTTTAAGTGCAAACTTTTAACATGAAGCATTTGTTACAGTCATCTGAATACAAAAAACCAAGAATGTTGACAGAGCCAATAGGTGAAGGAAAACAAATACATTTAATAACACTTTGGGGTCTGAAATAAACAACTTTTTCCCATGTAAGCTGATAAACATGGTTTATAGGCAAGGCTGAAAGCATCTTATCACTTGGCACAAAGTTAAACAGCAGAATGTGTATAACTTTCCTGTTGACTAAAATGCTTGACTTTCATTACTGAATCGACTTGCAAAGAGCAATCCTAATGAGGTTTGTTTTTGCAGAATTTTGTCTCTTATTGAAGTCCCTTCTCATTACTAAAAATCTCCCTGAATTTCTACCAAGTATTTTCTAAGATTTGCTGTGGTGTTAGTAATCTCCATCAAATCTCTCCCAGATGTCTAAGGATACCTCAGAGGCAATATATGTTGAATATCTGCTTTTGGCTGGCTGGTTTGCTCCTGCTGATAGGTAGCTGGAAAGCTGCTTCATCTCCCTGGGCCTGCACACTCCATGCAGCAGTTCTCCTGAAACTTTGTTGAACTTCATGTTTGTGAGATGTAGACCCCATTCTCAAAACTGTTCCAGGCAATTCATAAAAATAGCATACAGGTGTGCATCACAAGTGCACAAGCTTGTTTCCATAAGTCTTATGGCTGAAGAAAAAAATATTTTCCATTTGAAGATAAAATTCAGAACTGTGCTTGAAGGCACTGAGGTATAATCAAAACAGCCTTGTATGATCTTTCTTTGCTATCATTTTCTCTACCAGCGTCAGGGTAGGAATGCAAACTAAAAGTTAATTCACACAAAATCAGACTAGTGTCTGATTTAGATCTAATAAAGCTCTGATTACCTGTTTATTTGTTTGGTTTCCAATCATAATAAGTGCTTAATAAAATACAGTACCCATCCTAAGGAGTATTCATTTCTTCAGAGGTATTTTTTGTATTCTGCTTACTACTTTGTTTTTATTTCATAGAAGCAGTCTAATTTAAAAGGAGTGTCTCACGATAGAGACGATAATAAAAAAATACGTATTTTTTTCTAATTAGGGCATGTCAAGAGATTTATTTGAGTATATAGTAACAAAAAAGCTTTTAATTGTAAATGGAAATTGGTTTTGAGAATGCTGTTCACCAATTAAAAAAAAAAATTAGTTGAGAAATTCAGCAGTACATATGAAACACAAATCATTTTTAGCCTACTATTTTCTAATCTGATTTTCAATAAAGTAGCTCTTTCAAATGTTGCTAATGCAGAGACTTTCCCCATAACATTTTTTTTTTTCATTTTTATATTCCTTCTGTTTCTTTTGCTTCAGCTTCATTTCCTGTGGTCAGGAGAGCAAACCACTTAGCAACAGATTTTCATCTTAGCGTAATAACATGTGAAAAGGGAGAAGGAAGTGTAAATGCGAAGAAGAAAAATTATTATTTTCAGAATAATTATGTATGGTGTCTGGAGTTCATATAGAACACATATGGGAACACAATGTTAAAAAGCCACATGTACTATATCCTGAATAAGCTGTAATTTAAATAAGATAAGACAAATATAATTCAGTAGAGCCACAGTTCAAAGGAGAGCCCCTACTGCTTGCCAGCAGTGAGAAAATGGGAGAAAGAATTTGACAAAAATCTTCTTTTAAAGGAAGAAGGCTGTTAAAAATAATAATATATATTTTCTAGAATAAGAAGCTACATAGATATCAATGTCACATATTTTGACTGGTATATAGACACCTAAGCTCCAGTGATAAAAGAACTTATCACGTCTGGATTTTAGGGAGAAAAACTACCTGCTGAGTAGCCCTGCAGAGTATGTTTTCCCTTCCTTTCAGACAAGCAGCAATAACCGTGGGCAAAAGAGAATGTCAGAGACTGGCTGAGGTTGCTCCAATAGGTCACTGCCAACATTGCTGCAGCAGGAGTGGCTATGTATGAGAGCCATAGGGCAGAGAGATAAGGTGAGGTGATGGAAAGGATCAAAAGAACAGATATGAAATGTAGGAAACCACTCAGCTTCAGGCACGGTTTATGTAGATAAGGAATAGGCCATTACATTTTAGAAAGCATGTACAAATTAAAATATGCATGCAAACAGAATCAAAGCAGTAGGTGAGAGATACAGAACCATCATCATGGGAAAGTGTGAGGAGCAGAGCTCAAACTGACAGATTGTTCTGTTCAAAGCAAGATATCAACAGAATAGGATTCACAACAAACAGGATCCACAGGGATTAAAATGGAAAATCATCCCTTTGAGAAGGAAGATATAGTAATAATATATAGAATATATATATATATATATAATAATAGAAATAATGTGCAGGAAAAGAAGTGTGGAGTAACAGTATGCTTCTATACTGAAGTCTAAGTCCTCTCTGAGACTCACCATAGGCTGAATCTCAGTTCTTGCAGACTAAACACTTTGTGGGATACATGAGTATCACTTCATGCCCTCTGAGCTAAAGGGTAGCCATACAGAATATCATCTGTTAATACAATGATGAGCACTGCAGAGAGAAAGTAACTTACCATAGTGAACGGTAAAGGAAAATATTTGACATTCATTGCAGTCTAGTCTAGAGATATTTTATTGTTAACTTCTGTCATTTCTTTCATATGTCTGGCAGACACAATTTAGTACCAGAAGGTGAATTTGTATCAAAGCAAGAATATCATTTTGTCATTCATGTAATTTAATCAGGAAATTTTCACAAGGGGCTTCTAAAAACATTCCTGGCATATCAGTATAAGCAAATCAGCACTTTTCCAGCTTCCACTTTTACTAACACTAGAAATATGAAAAAGCATGAACTAGTAACCTTGAAACAGTTCTTTGCAAAAATAGATTACAATTTTAAATAATATCTACTGTTTGAAGCCAGTAGTTCTCAGATATAAAATAACAGTTTGTAAAGAAAAATGAATTTAATATATAGTTGTTTGTTTTTTTTTTTTTGTGCTAAATAAGGCTTTTAATTATGGTAAAATATTAATTAAACATAAATAAGTTTAAAACCTGGAGGATGCACAAAAAATATATGTGATTAGGAGTGCAGTTTGAACATTGGTTATGTTTTCTCTTTCATTTTTTCATGTTAGAGAATTGTATAGCTTGGAAATGAGATCATCTGAATATATGAAATGTAAGGAGAGTTAGGTACCTTTAACTACATTATCCTCTGCTGTGCTTTGGCTAATCTATAAAAATATTCGATCTCCTTAAATTAAAGATTTCAAAGTAACATAACACATATAGATATCTTATGCCACCTCAGCCTGGTAAGAAAAAATGAAATTTATAGAAGACAAAATCTTAAGCAATATGACTCTTGTGTAGATCAAGAGTGGGGAAAAAAAATAGTTTAACTGGGGATCACTCATGGGCTGGGTCTTGTCCTACATATGCTATATGCAGAAGAGGATTTTAAACCGAAGGTCTGACACCAGTTATAGCGCACAGTCACAGCAGAGAGATTGTCAGAATGTCCTCCAAGCTAATTTCAGTTCAGTGTGTAATCTAAATAAATGTAAATAAATAAATAATTTTTAAAAAGTCATAATGTACAATAGAATTTTCATTTGGTTTAATTGTCTTAATGATAATGAGTTATAGAATCATATGAAATGTATCACAGTAATTCTTTACGTTCAATATTGCCACTGATGAATATACATATATTTTTCTGAAAGTAAAGCCTCTTATTTATTACCATGGAAAATATGAAAGATACAAAAAGAGAAATAACACTGTTTGATTGTGCAAACTCTGTTACAAAACAGTTTTTCAACATGGTCTCCACTGTTAGCTGCGCATTTTTGCCAGCGATGAACATGATGCATGCCATGCTTCTAAAAAGTAGCACCAGTGGAAGTGATCCACTGTTCTGTTCCACTGCTGAAACACACCTTCCACCACCTCACTGTGATCACATCCACTGTTTGGTTTACAGAAACTTTCAGCAAGTATCAGTGAATGTCAGTGGGTGTATTTTTTTTCTCATGAAGTCATTCAGTTTCATACTTTTGCTTCATCTGCATTCCTGTGTCAGATGCCTATTTGCCATACTGTCCCTCAGCTGACATCTATTACACGGTGACAAAAAATAATGAGATACTGGTGGGAAGGATCACCCTCTACTGCCATACCACCAGCATCCACCTCATGTTATCTGCCAATAAAATAGGAGGTATTACTTTTGGAGCAATCCTTATAGAAATTTAGCATCCTACTATTAATGTCTTGTAATTGGGAAGTGATTTTTCAATTGATAATATCCACTGCCCTCAAAAATATCAGTTGAATTTCACAATTTTCATTCCTGTTAAGTATTGACAGACTAATTTTAAAGACTAGGACACAGAAACTCCATGACCAGTAATTAAGATGTATAGGATGTATACATATAGATGTAAAAAGTGATGGTGATGTTATTATTGTATAAATATTCTATAAATTATGATAATTAAATCTAATTTTTCTGTCAACTTTTTTCCAGGGTTTTGGTAGCCCATCAGGTGAACATTGGCTGGGAAATGAATTCATCTTTGCAATTACAAGTCAGAGGCAATATTCTCTAAGAATTGAATTAATGGACTGGGAAGGAAACCGGGCTTATTCACAGTATGACAGATTTCACATAGGAAATGAAAAGCAAAATTACAGGTAAGAATCTCTTGAAATTCTTCTTCCTCTGCTGAGCGATAAACATTGTTCATTGTTTCCCTGTTAAATATGAGAAAGGATAATAATATGATTTTGATTTTCATGTAGAGTCAAAAGGATGCTAAGAAAATGCCATAGCAATCTAATTTCTCATTGATGAAAGGTTAGAAAAAAACTAACACATTTGAGAAATAAAGAGTGAACAAACAATTGCCCTATTTGTAAGAAGTGCTTAAAATTGCATAAATTTTTGCATACCTAAGAGCATCACAACTCAAAACTGATTGAATAGGAAAAAAAAAACAAACATTGATTACATTACAAATTGAAAATTTTTGTCTTGGAAATATTAAGAGTGTGGCAATGGAGATAGGAAAAGTTACTCAAAAGCACTGTTAGAATATTGATATTTCCAAACTAAAATTTAGAGTAAGTGAAGAATAAAATCAGAATGCTGTATATTACTGTGTGTAGATAAAACATTGATTCACAAAGGTGGAGGTGGAACACTCACTCTGAGTCACTCTAAGGCAAAGAGTGAAATGAATAAAGAAAATCTCTTGAAACAAAGGATAGAAGAACTTCTGCAAAATCTAAAACCAAACGTGTAAATGTGTATTATGTGAAACTTACGCATTTGAAGATGTTCAAGCAGGAGAAAAGATAGGAGAAATACTTGTCAAATGAGGAAAAAAATCAATGTACAGTTACACGTACATCTAAAAAATATGATGAAAATTAAAGGTGCCAGGAATATTACTCAGAATGTGAATTAAAATGACAGAATTTGCTGACAGAATTACTGTCATTTTTGCTTGCATTTCTGCACTGAACAGCAACAATGCAGACCATTGAGGAATAGGAAGAATGTTGCAAATTTAACTTCTGTTACAGCTTGTAGTAAGGATTTTAAGGATACACGTAGATAATTCCTGGAAAAATAGTGAGAAAATTTCTTGTCTTATTTTAAAATTCTAGACTGTCTTTTTGGTAATATAGCAGGGAAACCTGGAAACACTTTGGGGATTTCTGCCTGTCTTAAAACCATATGAAGTGCCCAAAGCAGGGGAAAGGCAAGGATTTTTGGGGTAGGGCAGTGCTATTTGTCCCTCTGTCAGCCTGGGAACTCTGCTGGGTGCTGTGACCCAAAGCTGCTTCAGGTGTGAACAACCAAGACCAGACATGAGTTTAAGAAAGAACCTGCATATATTTAATTGTCCCTTTCTTTAAACAGATTTAGCCTGATCAAAATAGTATTATTTCCATATGGCGGATTCCACAGAGCAGGGACTTGGCAGTCTGTGCCACAAACAAGACAATATTTTTGGGGGAGGAAAGGAAATCTAGCCTTACAGATACAAGTGGTAGCGTACCATTTATTATCAAAGCCCTAGCCCAAGATGTAACCTTTCTTCACATGTCTTTTGTTGGTTGTATTAAAGTTTGTCTCAAACAAAGGGCCCTTAAAATGCTTGGGTCATGAAACTGACACCTGGAGATTTCTTAATCTATTTAAGTTTAACATTTCGATGGACAGTAGAGGAACCCTAGAAAAATCATCCTGAATGAATCTAGATCTACAGATGTGTATGGCAACAGGGAAGTATTTTGGAAAGGAAAATTGCTTCATTAGAAAAAAAGGTGTTTTTTTGGCTATATAAAATGTACTTCCTGAACTGTAGAAGATGATCTATTAAAATATTTCTAGTGAATATGAAAAACAAAATGTTTCAAAACTGTAGATATTAAATCAGAAAGGGTGTGCAGGCCTTAAAAAGTGTAAGATTGGGTAACATGACTGAATTTTGCTACTCATGTTCAAGTCACATTTCCACAAACACCTGCAGGAATTTCAAATGAGAACACTGACTGCATTTCTGGTTCTTGCTCTGCTTCATATTTCAGCTGAACACCAGAATTTGCTCAATACAATCTGTCTGGGAAATTGAGAATTGGTTTCATTAACATTATTCTGGAATAAACAGAGAGCTAAAAAAGCTCTATCATCTCTGTTGGACCTTGCTGTTTCAGATAAATTACTCAGTTACTTTTACTCAAACATATCTGAATATTTAGAGAAAATAAAGAAGTTCCAGAACTAATGAATTGTAAGCCATGTGACAATCTAAATTGTTTTTTAACACTTGACAAATGTACTGGTGCCTTGTGCAGACACACATACGTCTAGCAAACATTTTGTGAACAAAGTGTATGATGGACTTTTCTAGAAATTATTATAAAAATGCATCCTGTGACATGGCAACTCTTTATTTTGCTTGCCAGCATCACTATCTGCGATAGAAGCAGCTCCAGAAGGCAGACCAAATAAAAGCCTGATTATTGAGCCCTAGGCAGCTGGCTGCTCCTCAGAGAATACTGTTTGTCCTTTATCTAAGGAACTGCTATTTAAATGAGCCCTCTGAAGTTGAAAAGCACTGTTCTCAAACTTCTGCTTTTCCTTTTGTTCACAGTCGTCAGCTGTCAGGCATTTGCCATATTTGCTTTCAATACCTCAAGCACAGAGCAGCATACCTTTTTCAGAACTTCAGTTACTGTTTGTTTGAAGTCATCTCACCATACGAATTAGATATTCTTTAATTTCGGTAGCCATTAGAATTTTCTGCTTGTGGCCAGCAGTAAATTCTTCTTCAGTGTTGTTTGGACAACTAAGGAATTGTAGGTTATTCATACTTTACATTGGTTTCAAGAAACACAAGTTAACTAAGAAGTGTCAGACAATAAAGAAATAAACTTCTGAGGTCAGACAATAAAGAAATAAACTTCTGAGGTAATCTGGATAGTAGGTAAATAGAGGAAGGATATTGAAATGATAGGGAAAGCTCAAGAAATTGAGCATTTATGCTATGGCAGTACCTAGTACATTTGGAAGACAGGAAAAAATTATAAAAGATCCAGGTCTAGCAATTGTGTATAGTAAGTTAAAAGATGCAAATACCACAAAGTGATAAGATGCTTCTATGAAAATAATGAAACTCCTTTTCATGCTATTTTTCCAAAATCCAACCCCAACATTATGCAGAGCTTGATTCACTCTGGATAACTCCCAATTGGTGATTTCACAAGAGTTCTGTTTTTTCTCTAGGTTGTTTGTATTCTCTTTACTACTTTTTATTAGCTTAAAGAATCTGTGATTAAAAAGAGTAATGCTGAACATATGTACGTTAAAAATATTCTTGTTTCTCTTTCAAAATGAGGCAGCTCCAAAAAGGTTTCTGGGAATGTAGAATCAAATGTATTTATCCCAGATGATGACTGCAATGAAGAAAGTAGAGATGAAAATTTGTTTAGTGAAATAATAAATAAATAATAAAATAAATAATAAACGATAAGTAACAGAAACAGGAAAAACAGTGTTGCGCCTCCCTTGAAGGTTTCGATAGCCTGGAAGTTTTGAAGTGATTAATTTCATTTGTAATATCCTTAGATTTCTTATTTACATGAGAAGATTGAACAGAAAGCTGTGTTTAAGTTCAATGAAAATACTCTTTGACCAACTTTTTGCAAGTCTTGCACTATGTCAAGTAAAATCTCCATACAGTAAAAAGAGTCAGATCTTACAAGCCCACGTTTAGTGCAGTGTTTTTTAGAAAGTCAAAAGACGTATCACAGAAATATAAAAATTTCATTAGAAGAGCCACCCAGAATTCACCTAGCCTCTACTATTTTCCTGTATAGACTAGTGCACTTTTGTCAACGTTGCTGCTTTTGTGAGCCATATCGTTATGTTTTGTGCTGTGTCCCCAGACCCTCCAGAATCAACCCAGGAAAGTAATCATGTCTTAGGATTCCAGGCTCCGCACTTCATAATCCTACATATTAGTTAATGACAGCAGATATACTGATGTTGGATTACGAACAGCAAAAATTTCAGGCTTCGAGCACATCTTTTTTTGCCACTCACAATGTAGAAATAGCTCTTCGAAGTGAGGCATGGGATGAAGAATGGGGGAAATAACGTTTTAAATTAGCCAAATTGTTTGTACCTCAGAATCCTTAGAAATGTTTAATAGGCTCTCTATGACACTGTATTACAGTATTTTGTCAATCCACTATTTAGAAAATCTTCCAATTCCTACAATGACTTACTGTCTTTGTTCTTACTCATGAAGAAACATGATTAGATGATGAGTGAGTACCACTTAGGTTGGCATGACTTTGGGATTTCTGAAAGCATAAGTGAGAACTGTGAATGGATAGAGAACATCCCAACTTTTTTGAGTGAGTTGCTGTTTTAAGGTGATAATTTGTAATTAAGGAGAACAATCTTTGTTTGGAACCAACATGAGAAAGAGATAAGGAAATCTTGTAAAAAATGGAAGATAGTATAGATGTATTTTCAGTGGAATAAACAGGAGACAAGTAGACAGGGAAATATCAGTTATACAGAGAAAATTTAGATGTAACATTCCTCAGAGGAAAGAAGTTGATGAAATTTGTTGCAAACAGAATGGGGATTTTCAGTGATGCCTTTGCCATGAGTAACTTTTTCTTTCTGTTGCACTTGAGTAGTTTAGATAAAATAGGGAATCAGTCTTATCTGGAATTTTTTTCTGATCCATCTGCTTAGTTTCCTTGTTCTTAGCATCACAGTGAACCTTAGGTGGCCCAGAACACAATGGAGGACACAGATGAAACCTGTAGGTAGCTAAGCAAGAAAATAATCATAGATTTTGTGTCCAGAACTCATCACTGTTTTGCCAAAAATGAAATCTATAAAATAACTCAAAAAATAGTAATGGTGCAAAATTTTGAACCCATAGTCATTCACATTTATTTAGAAACTTGAAATTCATTTTGCGAATTTGCTTCAGAGGAAATACTCATGAAAAATCATTTTAACAGACAGAATGGTATCTGTGGCATGCATCCATTACATGATTTGAAGATACGTTCAATATTTTTTTCACCAAACAATTGGGCTGTTCTTTTTTATTTATCTGTTTGAGTAAAGAGAAAAAGCATGGACTGCAGCTGCACAG